AACGGTTTGGAAATCATGGTTAGAGTGTTGGAGATCAATGGTTTGGAGATCATGGTTAGAGTGTTGGAGATCAATGGTTTGGAGATCATGGTTAGAGTGTTAGAGATCAATGGTTTGGAGATTATGGTTAGAGTTGTTGAGAGATCAACGGTTTGGAGATTATGGTCAGAGTTGTTGGAGATCAATGGTTTGGAGATCATGGCCAGAATTGTTGAGAGATCAACGGTTTGGAAATCATGATTAGAGTTGTTGGAGATCAATGGTTTGGAGATAATGGCAAGAATTGTGAATCTTACCCAAGATCCCAGAACTACAAAGTAGAACCAAGATGAGATCTGTGGAGTCTGAAGCACAGGCCACTCCCTCTCTTATGAAGTGCATGGGGCTGGTCATAGATTGCATTAACTAACAGGCAGGTGAACCACCAATCCCTGCACTCATACATTCAGACATTGCAAGTGGAAAAGAAGTGAACACAGCCACTTTGGAAAATAGTAGGGCAATTATAAAGGGAATGCAGTGGTGCTGTGGGGTAGGGACCAAGCTGCTAATCACAAGGCCAGAGGTTCAAACCCACCAGCCATTTGACAAGAAAAATTGGAGGCTGTCCACTCCCAAACTGCAAATACCCCTCCTCTGTAGCTCAGTATGCCTCTAGTGGGGATGTACTCTTGACCCAAACTCAGATGGCAAAAGACACGGACAAAAATATGTATTGAAGAATTCTTTGTACAGCCATATAGCCAAGAGTTATGAAGAACTCACAAGTCCATCAACCAAAAAAAGGGAAAAACTAAAGATCATAAAATGAGATACTACACAGTAATGACACTGCACTAACTGTAGCAGCACATGTAAATCAATCTCACACACATTACAGCAAGTAAAATCAAGCAGAAAAGAACACACATGCTATGTTTTCATATGTAGAGGCAGGCTAAGGTGGTACAACTGAAAATAAAAGCAAAAAAAATGATCATCCTGTAAGCCTGTGTGATGGCTTCTTTTGCAAGGAAAGGGCACCCAGAGCCAGGTAGGTGTTGTTGTTGGGTGCTGTCCAGTTGATTTAAGTCACATTGACGCCATGCAGCTAAACAGTGCTGTCTCACAGAATTTTCCATGGAGCCCAGGTGGTGTAGTGGGTTATGAGATGGGCTACAAACCACAAGGTCAGAATCAAGGTAGTTCAAAATCACCAGCTGTTCCCAGGGAGGAAGATGAGGCTTTCTGTTCCTGTCTCAGAAACCCACAGGGACAGTTCTCCTCTGGCCTACAGGGTCCATATGCATCAGAATGGATTTGAGGGTGCTGAGTTAGGTTTGGGTTTGGTCATCTTTACAGGAGCAGATCACCAAGTCTGTCTCTGGCAGAGTGATGGGTGGGTTTGAACTGCCAACTTTTAGGTTGGCAAATGAGCACCTAACAGCTGTACCATACAGGCCCCTTTTGTTAGTTGTAAGCATAACTCCCTTAACTGGGTGGTTACCTCACAATTCAGTTTCATGAAATTTTTGTATAGTTTCACAGAAAATTTTTGTTCTCCTCATTTTTCCATTAGAATATTTTATAACATTATTAAAGCCATCATTTTTATCTCAAGGAACTTCTTTGGACTTAGACCAGAGGCCTTCCCCAAGGCTCAGATAGCTGGACTACACATACATAAATGTAGACACGTTTGTCTCCCAAATAGAAACCACGTGTTTACAAAACCCTTTACAAGAGTTCAATGAGAAATGATCTCTTCTGGAATACTTGCGCCCTTACTCTTCAGTGCAACATATGGCCTGTCAGTCTGTGTTACATGTGCATTGCCCAGACTGAAGGCAGCAGGCCTGACTGCAATAGTACTGCAACCGCCAAGCCTGGAACCGCAGACAACCTACCCGAACCTTGGTGCTGACTCCCAAGGAATGACTAGCGCATGATGGACACTGCGCAAGGCTGAGAAGAGCCCAGCAAGGCGAGTGCTCAGAGTAAATAATGAAGAGACCCACTGCACTTACATTCAGTTTGAAGAGTACTGGGAATTCTGATTACGCAAGATGAGACCAGTAATTAGACAAGTCCCCTGTGTAATTAAGAGTTGGTTTCAGGAGCCTGTGACTCACGAGGGAGGTCTAGCCTAGACCCAGAGCTCTGGATGTCACAAACCCCAAAGTGATTGCAGAGATCAGTAAAGGACCCAAATCATGGCCTCGTCCACCAGAACTAGATGGTGCCCAGCTCCCATTACCAACCGTACTAATCAAGCCCACAGCACACAGAACTTCAAAAAGTGGAGCAATCTTCAATGTTCTTTTTTAAAAAGGACCAAAAATGAGCCTACTAGATTGGCTTGGATCTAGAAGCTCGTCTCAAAGAGGGCTTCTCAAGCCAATGGCTCCATGCCTCAGAAACTTCAAATTTTGAGCTCCATTTAACCCCTGAGGTCATCTTAAAGCTAAATAACAAACTGGCTCAAAAAGGAATGACTTTCAAGAGCAAGTACTGTGGCTCCTTTAAAAACATCACCCGGTACGAGACCAAATAGTCACCAACTACGCTGATATAACAGTGAGACCCTAAGAGGGCCGAGAAACTGGATTAATGGAACCACCAGACAGAAACTCTGAGAATGTTCAGATTGTGAAGAGAGCAGCCAAGGTCACTGAACAACTTGTGTAGAAACTGTTCAATAGGAACCTCAATTGCTGTGGATGCCTTCATTGAAAACACAAAAGTTAAAAAAAAAAAAAAGTAACACCTCCCACCCCACCCCACCCCCCACAAAAGCTTGAGGGGAAATGATCATGTCTCATTTTTCCCTAGCTGGTTCACACGGTGATTAACGTCAGCAGTGGGCCAGAGAGCCTTTCTCCCAGCCCTGAGCAGGAGTTGTACCCGATCAACGGTGCTCTTCAGTGAGTCCCAGGTAAACATAAGGCGGCGTGTTGCGTGTGTTAAACCTTCCCGGGAAACAGCCTGACTGCTTGAAGACGGGGCCGGTGGCCTGTGGCTGGACAAGTGCTCCTCAGGGATAAAAAGTCATTCAGCGCCATCCAGTATCAATAACCACGAAACACCCAGAAAGAGGGGCTAACTGGTTAAGCAAACGTCAAGTTAGCACCGAGTTCACGCAGCTGAAGCAGGTACTTTAAAGGTGCGCTGGAGACACTCAGGTTGTAAACATTTGTGCTGCTAATGTCGCTGACTGACGGCAGCTAAAGTTAGGACGCTAGAACCAGTCATACGCAAGAAGCCCTACTTTTGCATCACTGGCGATAAAACCAGGGAATCCGGCAGTTGCAAAGGGCAATGGGGGCGTGATGCTGAACGGAGGCCGGGTAGGCCTGTAAGTGGGCAAATTTACACATCGATTGCCAGGATAAGGTAAGATTAATAAGCTATGATTCACAAATGATCAACAGCTGTAAGGCTGCTGGTAAAATTTTCTGATATTAATTCAGTGTAGAGTTTTGTATTGGCCCATTATTATTTCTTCTTCACTATCCCTGCCTTCAAATCCAGATACAATCATCCCAGAATCATTCACGTTTGGTTCTAAACTCCTAGGGAACGACTGGAAACCCCTTAGCTCCCCATGCGGGTGGTGGCTTGGTGTTTTAGTCTTCTTGCCGTGCACAGTCCACACCCATGTCCGCCACTGAGTCTACCTTCAACCTTCAAATCTGAGAGCACCTGGGCCCAAACTACCTGTATCTCTCCAGAGCACAGTCTATGGAGCAGCCACCGAGAATACTTCAGTGAGGGATTTAAAATATCACAGTGTGAGGCAAATGTTTTCATAGTGCAATTACTTAAGGGGAAACTTCACCAGAGAAACTCCTCATAAACTATAAGTGAGCGCTCCTATTTAGAGCCCGTGGCCATCTATTCTCATAGGCCACCAACGTACTTACCACAATGCCAATAAAAGCGTTCCCCTTCTTCTTGTCCTTCGCAGATTCTTTATTTTCACAGACACACAGCAGATAGTTGGTGGAAGCATCGGTCGTTAACTCATCAACATTTACAGCATCATCCATCTTGACCAGGGGATTCACATGTGATGGTTATTAAAGAAAAATAGGTGCTACGTTCCCATAGAGAGTAACTGCGTTCTCCTCTGAAACAATTGTTCATTTACCCTGATACTTAGGAGACAGAAGGTTAAGAAGTATGGCTACAAGTCACAGAAGCATCTGTCAAACAGAAACAAACAAACCAAAACCCATGAAGCTCGTGTTCCCTGACACATGCTCCATCTGACAGTGGTGTTCCCATCTCTCTAGCACTTCCTCCAAAAACTCTGTGCTCTTCACTTTCCACCGCATCAAGGGACCCAAGGGAACATTTTTAAGTGTTCTTCGAGCTTCAAGACAAAAAGAAATCTGAAGGGGAGAGATCAGGGCTCTGGGGGAATGGGGTACTGTTCTCCTGCAAAATTCTCAGAGGACAGACATCCTCTGGCACCCTCAGAGAATGCATGGGTGCACAATCAGGCTGGAGCACGGAGAAGCTCGCAGTGCAACTCTCCCAGCCTTTTTCTTCCCGTGCAGTTTTCCACGTTCTTAAAATTTCTTCCGAATAAGCCTCTGTGATGGTCCTGCGCCCTTGGAGGAAATCTCTCAAGATGACCCTTTGGGACCCCCAAAGACGGTCCCCACCAAAATTTTAGTGATCATTAGTAACAGTAGCATGCTTTGCTATCCATGCATTTGCTGGCTTAGTGTTTGTTTAAAGTGCCTAATGGCTGCCAGATATATTTTAAAGAAAGACATGAAAACACACGTGCACACACACACCCACAAAGGTTAAAGTAACCACACTATCTCAACTGATCAAAAATATACCCACTCGAAAAACAACTAAATTTATCTTTTTAAGTTATTGTCTGTAAAGCGTTTGTGAATTTCAGCGAAGAATTCTACTCAGAAAGGATATCCTCACCAATCAGGGTAGATTTTGTATAAAGAGCAGTCAGCTTCCGGGAGAAGAGAGAGCTTTTGTTGTCCCCAGCGGCCTTCAGGGCGGCAGTTTCAGTCTGCTTCACCACACCCACCTGCAGCAACCATCAGAATAGGTCATTTGATGGAGGATGGAATAAAAAAAGAAAATTCCCCACAATTTAAAAGGCTACCTCTGAAACATTTAAAAATCATCATCTCACAATCATAAGCTATAGAGTTTAAATAATAAACACCACAGGGCGTCTACAAGTGTGGCTTAGTTTCTCAGGAACACTCTTATCACCAAGTTATTAAAAAATATTTCTTTTTAACCCTAAACATCTAACAATATGCTTGAGATAGTTTATTGTGCCAGCCTGGCTGATAAACACAAGTGGGATTAACTGAAGGGCGGAGAAATAAATGGCTCGGTGAGCCTTGCCTTTCTTGTTTCTCATTCTTTGATCATCGGACCAGTGTGCGGCTGCCTTGCTTGTTCTGTGCCTCAATTTACAGGCTACACTACCTGTGGGACGTCTAGCCTGTGAACTGTGTCGCTGTAAGTTGAGGTGCCTTTAAGACATCTCTGGAGCTGGGGACTGGCCATTGGTGACCTAGCTGATAGTTGGTGATCTGCCTTGTGATTGGCTGCTGTGCTGAGATAGCCTAGCAAGCTCTATAAATAGAGGAAGACCAGTAGACTAGACTTGAAGGACTGCTAGTGTCTCATAACTCTCTCTCACGGGAGTGAATTGCACTGAGCCATTTGTACTTCATAATTTAACTGTTCATTTCTTGTATTATATATCTATTTGTATATAATTTAACAGTTCATTTCTTGTGTTATATATCTAATTATCTTTATATATAAATATATCAAATCATCAGCAATTTAGTTTTATCTCTCTAGAGAACCCTTTCTAACACAATGCTCAAACCTTATGAAGCTGTAAACTCACTCGCATCAAGTCCGTGCTGACTTCCAGTGACCTCTCTGTGAGTTTCCGAGACTTTGACTGAGTTTGGGAGTAGAAAGCCCAGTCTATGCCCCTTGGAGCTACCGGTGGTTTTGAACTACAGACCATGAGGATCACAGCCCAGTGAATAGCTACTGCACCACCAGGGCTCCTAATAACTATTATGAACTTTCAGTTCTCCATCATGCCCAAATCCAAAGCCAATTAAAACCTCCCACACTAGACAACATATTTTTAACTCTCTGGAGGAGAATCCCAATCTCAAAGTCAAAGCTGACCTTATATCCTTTGGCCACAAGGCGGCGCACATGAACAAACAGTCTATGAGTCGGAATACTTGCTGTCATAAAGTTGTGGTCCAAGTGGCAGTAAATATTGAGCTCCCGGGCTGCAATCTGTAAATTAGAAAAAGAGAATATTGACAAATTTCTGTCTCAAGATTTGCTCTGTGGGATGTCATCACTTTATAAAAAATCATCAAAGCACATACTTGGGATTTGTCCACTTTTCAATGTGTATGGTGTTCTGAATAAAACGTTTATAAGCTTAGGGCTCATTCTATTTGCTGCAGTTTTAACAACCTCACTTCAGGCCTACAAAATTCTCAGGACTTGACTCGATGCCGTGCCTTTGGTCTTTCTTTCTTCTTTCTTCTTTTTTTTTTTTTGGTAACTGGTATATTATTGGTTGTTTTGAGGATCAGTACAGAGAAATTATAAACAATCTGTACATAATTCTTTTTGGTTGTTGTTGTTCGGGGTCACACCGGCTGTCTTTCTGATGTTTGGGGTTGAAAGGGGACGTGAGGGTGGGCAGTTTGTCCACTCTGCTGCCATCAGCTGAGGGTGTCCTCAGACACTGAGTTAGTCAGTATCCACAGCCAAGGGAAGACAAGAGCTCTGCTCCAGAACTCCGGCCTGCTCAGAGCTCTCTGGCCTCTCTGGATCTCCAGCTAGCAGTTACATTTTTATCAGGTTGGCAGGGGTACAGGATTGAGGGGAACAGCACACCTACAGGCAGCAATTCAGGGTCTTACAAGGCAGTGTACGTGTCTTGCTAAGTGGGCTGGCAGAGTTTGGAGGCGTCTCAGAAGAGTCAAGGTCTTGTTTGGAGAACTGGGAGAGGGAGAGGAGAAGTGGGGCTAACACAGCACCAATTTCGTGCCTTTGGTCTTGGTTTATAACCTAATCAGCTCAGAGTAACTCAAGGTTGTTGGGGACCCATTTTAAATGACCTAATCATGATATTCACAGAACAAGAATTTGGGGAGTAATTAGGCAGGCCTCTAGATAAGCAGATATGCAAGAAACCACTACAGAAATATTGCTAAACAGTCTTTTCGCATGATATCATTTCAGATCTTCTTTATCTCCATATTCTTTATTATGGGTTCTTTTTCCAACTCTTTCTTTCACTCAACTCACTCCATCACATTGATTCTGACTCACAGCTACCCTACACGATAGGGTAGAACTGCCCCTCGGGTTTCCAATACTGTCATTCTTTGCGGAGTAGAAAGCCTCATCTTTCTTCCTTGTAGCAGCTGCGGATTCGAACTGCTGACCTTGCTGCTTGCAACCCCAAATGTAACCCACTACACTATTTGCCTTCCAAATCCTTAAACCTAAGAAAACCTTAAAGTGCTGAGTTTCCCTACCCAAAGGATGTTTCAATACAGAGAACACAAGGGGCTATAATGGAGTAAGAAGCTGCTTCAAGGCACATGCAAATAAATAATAATTTGGATATATCAGAGGGTGTACCTAAGCTAATTCTTTCCTGGTGACCCAATCAGTTAAGTGCTCAATAGCTAGCCAAAGGTTCAGCAGTCAGAATCCACTTAAAGCTGCCTCAGAGGACAGGCCTGGTGATGTGCCTCTGAAAAGCCACAGCCCTGAAAACCCACTGAAGTGGTTCTACTCTGCAGGTGTCGGGTCCATGGAGAGGTTCTATCTTGCACACGTGGGGTCGATGGAGAGGTTCTACTCTGCAGGTGTGGGGTCTATGGAGTGGTTCTATCTTGCACACGTGGG